ATTTTATAAACATATGTATATAACAGATAATCGGTACACTGACTTAACCTTTCCAACAGCGATTGATAAAGTATTGTCTCTCGGTAACTTTCTTGAGATATTTTAACTTTCACATTTATGTATATAGCCATATTATTTTCACAAAACAAACGGCTATCTACCAAGTAATGAGCTATACAACATGGGATCTCACGAGTTTAATAAACTGTTTGTTTCTTTGTAATAAATTTCCCAGCTCTTTACAGTTTCAAGTCAAGGTTGTTACTGAATTAATTAACTCTAAGGAAAATTAATTGACCTTGTAATGTATATTGCTAGCAATGGAGAGCTGTTAGTCCCCATTATTAGCAATCCCATTTCCCAATTTCCCTCGCAACAATGTTAAATGCTGTTATCATGCGTCAATTAAAAAAAATTGTAGGAATTAGCATTTATAACATTGCAGCATTTATTTAATGTTTTTAAGTGTTTTTTGGCGGAATTTAACACCAGGAAAAAAACTAATATAATAAATACTATTTTATTTTTCCATATGATAGTACAAAATTCACATAATATTAATTCAAATTATCTTTATTTAAATATATTTGTTTACTTAACACTTTTAAAACATCATTTTTTTATAAATTCAGGCTTCAAAAATTGAGTGTCGAGAAGAGCCCAAAAGAAACTCAACAGTTACTCTTTTAAATCTCTGCTAACATTAAATAATAAATGTACTATGTCTAAAGTTACATGGTCATTAAAAGCTCGTGCATGGTCGACTAACACCATGCACATTTATCATTCAAGTGATCATTTTGGCGGGAATAATTTGTGACAAGACTTATTTAATATTACAACGACAAGTAATCCAAAATATATTTAATTACCTGTTACTAAGAAACCTGTTGGTCCCTCAAACGCATTGTAATACATTCCCAGGGTCAACAACCTCGAAGTGATACTGACCAATATGCTAACATGCAACATACTCTCCGACCATTTGTTCCATGGCAATGGTAAACTATTAGTCCGGTTATGGAGAACTACTGAAAGATTATCACATTCTGTCCACATTTTGGCCTCGAGACATTTGCCCGGATGCCTTCAGGTGGATAGGTCTGATTGTAGTTAGCAAAGTCTATTATTAGCTAGTTCTGATTGTAGTTAGCTAGGTCTGATTGTAATTAGCAAAGTCTCAAATTGTAGTTAGAAAAGTCTGATTGTAGTTAGCTAAGTCTGATCATTGTTAGCTGGGTCTGATTGTTAGCCACGGGACGATTGCTCGCGCACACCCACGTCTCGAAGAAAGCGCTGAAAAGTAGCACCGGGGGGGTTTTAGCCGGTAAGAGTCCGGCAGTACCCACATATCTCCTCCGGGGTATGCGGGTTTGGATGAGCATTTCATCTCGACAAAAAAAGGTCCGATTGTTAGCTAGTTCTAATTGTAGTTAGCAAAGTCTGATCGTTGTTAGCTAGGTCTGATCCTTAGCTAGTTCTGATTGTAGTTAGCTAGGTCTGTGGAGTTACTCTTGAAATAAATTCCAGTATTTACTCGAATTGCAATACTAGCTGATAGATGCATTGTAATTTGTCAATGGAAATTATTGTAAACTGATCCCAATTATAATCTAATTCCTAATTGTTGTTTCATGAATGCAGTATAAAATTATCATTGGCAATAGAATTGATTGGTAATTATATGATTATATTGGATTCAAGAGTAGACCTGATAACTCTTTTTAGCTATGTCTGATTGTAATTAGCTAGGTCTAATTGTTATTAGTTGAGTCTGATTGTATTTAGCTATTTACCATTGATTATAATATTTAAATAATAGTACTTTTAATCTACTGTATAAATTTTAATTTATAAATAATATACATATGTTTCCGTCTATTATTGTACGCACACTGCCCGCTAATAATTAATGCTCCTTTCCACTCAGGGTTTGCTGGAAGAGAATTCTTACAGAGTTAAGCTCGCCTGTTGTACATCTTTATTTTATATATATATATATATATATATATATATATATATATATATATATATATATATTATAATTTTTTCTGTGTAAAATAAAGAGTAAATAAATAAATAAAAATATATTCTTGTAACAAGTAAAACAGTGCGAAGTCAAAATAACTGATTTATCTGCAATTAAAGTTTTTTTTTTTTTTAACACAATCTTAAACTCTATAAGATTATGTACAATGCCATCCACGTACAATGATAAAATTGATATACGACAACTTTATCACTCCATATGATTGTAATCTGGACGAGGTCATACGTTAGTATCATACCTGCCAATGTGTACCAATATCTTTGCTGCATTTCACAATGATTAGAATTTTAGGGGTTATTTACAGCTTATAAAAATTTACCAGAGGGAGACTTTATACAAAAGTCGTTCAAATTCAAATTCAAAAATCATTTATTCATGTAGGACATTTTAGCCGCTTATGAACGTCAAATTTTTACATTATAATTTTATTTTTTTCCCTACCGTCCAGTTCGGTATATAGATCCAATTGAGAAGAACTGGCAAGAAACTCAATTGAATTACTTTTTTTTTTTTAAAGCCAGTTTATTTACAATGTATATTTATATAGGTGTCTATGTCTAACATTAAATGAAAATTCAGTGCATGAACAACTATTGCCATGCACACTCGTCATTCAAGTAATCGTTTAGTGGGTAATAGGCTTTGCTCAGTAAATATGATTTAACAGATGTTTTGAATTTATTTAAGGGTAATTCCAACATATCCTTTGGTATCTTATTGTAAATTTTTATACCTATTCCCATAAAAGACCTATTAACTTTTTCTAAACGATACTTGGGGACAGCAAGTTTGTCTTTAAATCTAGTATTAATATTATGAATATTGCTGTTTTTTGGAAATAAGTCAAGATTTTTATGAACATATAGGATATTTGAATATATAAATTGAGAAGCAACGGTGAGAATATTTGCCTCTTTGAATTTCTCTCCTAATGAGTCACGACTCTTCATACAGTAGATCGCTCGAACGGCACGTTTTTGTAATATGAATATATTCTTAATATCTGCCGCTTTTCCCCATAGTAATATTCCATAAGAGAGTAAACTATGAAAATAACTAAAATAGACTAATCTAGCAGTATCAGTATCAGTGTACTGTCTAACCTTACGCACGGCACGTTTGCTTTGACACCCCTGTCTCATTCGTGTTTCTACCGTGAAGCAGTTGTGTTTGCATGACTGTCTTTCGGTTTGGAGGGTGGGATATAGCGTGAATTTACTGAATGAATAACACCTGAGTTCTCAGGAATGGCAACGCATGGAGGTATCATGGACGAAATAGTATACTCTGTTATATCCATGCTATTGCTCATGTCTATAAGCGATGGTTACCACTTTCCAAAAGGTGGACCGTCAGCTTGTTTGCCATTCTAAGTTGTATAAAATAAAAATTATAAAAATTAAAACCTGTAAACTTATATTAACTATTACACTGTTTTGGCACTTTCTTACAAACTGAGAATTTAGTACAAAAGAAAGAGATAAAAAATAAAATTTATGAGATGTATATGACGTTTTAATGAATAAGGGGATAATCTTTGTTTTTTTTTTTTTCAATTATTTATTATTTCATTTTACCATGCGAGTTGTCAATTTCATTAAAATGAACATGTTCCAAAATTGTATAGAGGCTGAAGCAAATCAATTTAAAGCTAATTCAAAACAAATTTAAATTTACCCAATCTTTTCGTACAGTTTATTTTGTTTTCTGGCACAAAATAAATTCGAAATTGTGAATCTAAACTCTGAATGACGTTGTTTGAGGTAAATATGATTATTTTTTAATAATCGTTAAACATTTCCGATTGAAATATTTCAATTTGAAATCAATATTATTTTAAATAAATTTCCCTTTCTTTTTGCAATTTCAATGATAAATAAAAATTACTTTCACTGTTTATTTATTTAAAAAATAACTTTATTGACCAGAAGAAAAAAAAAATTGTACAAAAGGCGTATTATTAAGTTTTGCTTTGATACCGTTTTTTAATGTATGATATGTAACGCAAATGCAGTAACAACCGTAAAAAAAATCCAAAAATAATAACTTACTAAGTATTATGTGGCAATAAACTACTTTGTTAATATTTATTATTTTTTTCCATAATTCTCATAATTTGTTTTTTTTTTTTATTTTTTTATTTACATAACTGGTCTTTATATGAAACATTCTATTATCCCATATTAGTTTTGACACATTTGAGTTACGTTACTCAAACAATTAAGTAATTAATTCACCATTTTGCGTAAATAATCGATTATCCGGAACTTTCTGGAACAGTTTCCGTATTTCGATCGATCAGAAATAAAGTGGAGCAATGTAATAAGTGATTCGCAGATAATCTCCGATTGTAATACTGCACATACGGCCGCGTGTTATCATCAAATTATCATTGTCATTCAATTCCCGACGTGCCTGATCTTTGATAACGTCAATTAGCACTCCGGTCTTTTGTATCGTCAGTCAGTTGTGACTGAAACGCGCCACGGACGGACGTGTTGTGTAGTGTTATTTAGTGAATATATAATTAGGTAATTTAAATTTTTAAATTATTTTCAATATACATTTATTTGTCGTAGTGTAGTCTTATTAGTTTTTAATTTTGTTTGTAGTTTGTGCTGTTTTTCCATTTTCTATTAGCACGTCCTTTTTTTATTTTTCCCAGTAATGAAAAAAAACTACTACTGTGTTTAAAACTAAGTTTACTTGAATAAAATTATTTCTTTCTTACTTTCCCAATCAAATTGTTCATTTTTAATTTTTTTTTTTATTTTACAATTAATGATAAGCATCGTCATCGTTTAATTGTGTTATTTAAGTGTTCTAAATTTAATCTTCACAATTTAGACAAAGTGAAGTAACGTTTCTAACGGTTCCTCTTACTTTACAAGTGTCATTGTTATACCAATTTGAACCCTACTTCCGTATTGATAAAGTGTATTTTTTGCAGCTTCAACAGAATGCCGCTGCAGTTGACCAAGCCCGCGCCACAGTTCAAGACCACCGCTGTCGTGAACGGCGAATTCAAAGATGTCTCGCTCTCAGACTACAAGGGCAAATATGTGGTTTTGTTCTTCTATCCGCTTGATTTGTGAGTATTGTTCATATTTCTATTGTTAACTAGAAATTAAGAATGCAAACACTGATTTTAGATATAAGAAATGGAAAATCTTATCTTAATGTACTTTTTTTATATTTTCTTCATAATTAAAATTGTGTTTAAAAAAGCGGCTTCTATTGTGACAAAACCAGTTATTTTCATTTAAAAAGTAAATTACCGATTTTGATAAAATTTCTATAGAGCCCAATATGTAAGTACATATATTCTTTCAGATCAAAAAGAATTTTCTAAATCGGTTTACAACTGAAAACCCCTTTTTTTGGAGTCGGTTGGAAAGCAATGTTTGATATTCAATGTCAAATGTATGATATATAAACATATAAGATTTGATTAATTTGCATTGATTTGATTTAAGTATGTAGAATTTGTAAGTAAATTTTATTTCCTACAAAGTTGCGGTGCTTCACAATTACTTACTAGTTTTTATCCTGTGTTAACAACTATAAAGACTCTACAAGTAATAGAAAAATCTTGCATTACGTTATTTTTTTTCTTTGCGAACGTGTTATCTATTAACCTTTAACTGTTATAATACAAACAAGGTCGCTCCCAAACACATACGTATCTGTTACGCTTATTTCCCATTAGTGTATGCAGAAACACTGGAATTCCAAGTACTTCTATTCAAATAGGCCTCTTTCCCCAAATACCGAAAAAAAGACATTAAAAATACAGTAGAATTTCGATTATCCGAACATTCGATTATACGGACTTATTCTTCACGGTTCTAATTACCGATTTAGAAATGGTATTATTATTAATTGGATAAATAGGTACTATGTAATCCATTATCATTATCTATACTTATAATAAATCTATCCGAAATAACTATCAGGCGGTGATTAGTGATTGATACTGATGCCAAAAATGCAATCAGTAAAATTTTTGTCTATCTGTCTGTATGTTCGTTATAGAAACAAAAACTACTTGATGGATTTTAAGGAAACTTGGCATTGGTACAATTATTCTTTATACTCCTGGACAGGTTATAGAATACTTTTCATCACGCTACGACCAATAGGAGCAGAGCAGTGAAGGGAAATGTTGGGAAAACGGGAGAAGTTACTCCATTTTTAAGCTTCCGTCGCGTGTGCAGCCTTAATGGTCACTTTTTAAAATGTAAAAATGTCCACCTCATAGTAACTCATTCTAGTAACTCATAATTTTTAATATCATATTGTCTAAATGACATGTATGTAAAACCCTTTACATAAATTTTGAAATCGATTATACGGAATACACCTGGTTTTATTTGATTCGGTAAATCGAGATTCCACTGTACTCTTACCCCGATAGCGTGCTTTCGATTTTTTTTTTTTGTATGAGAATAAAGATTTATTACAAATACAGGTTTGCACTATTACAAGTATTTTACAATAATATCGCTCCATTCTGATACTAAAAACTTATTGGATATTCACCGCTTTTGTACCTATGTTAATATGTTTCACCTTCGATCTTTAACTCTGTCGGAAATGTGTAAAACCGTAGTTTCCACGGCTCAATACAACACGTGTGTTTCCTTAGGCGTGTAAATAATTAATTTGTCATAGAGTTTTGTACTATACTAAGCGAGCGTCCCTCGTTATTTGTCATCTCATCATCATCACATCAGCCTTAACTGTCCACTGATGAACATAAGCCTTCCGCCTATCGAGGGGTGTTGCCAGTTATTACCGCCCTTGGTAAGCGGATTGGCAATTGCAGTTACACTTTGAAGATGTTTTAAGTCGTGAATTTACAGGCTACGGAGGAATAATATTTGAGTCCTCAGGAATGGCAACGCATGGGGGGTATCGTGGGCGAAACAGTATACTCTGTTATGTCCATGGTACTGCTCATGTCTATAGGCGACGGTTACAATTTTCTAGAACTAGAACTGTCTAGAAGCGTCAATATTCACACAAATTATATGAAGTAACACCTACCCTCATTTTCATAACAAAAAAAAAATTGTCACTTTCTTAAAAATTGAGACATTGACATAATAGAAATAAACAGAACACTTCAATAGCTAAAATAGGTTTACTACAGGTTTACGGTTTTCGTAAATAAGGGTTTACACATAAAAATTACTGCGGGAACAACAGATGAGTTTCATAGGCGAAGCTACAGTTCGGGAATAGAACCAATGGAATAAATCAGTTTTAGGTGGTGTATCAAGATAAAATGTACACCGAATTTTAAGTTAGACCTTTAGGAACTAAATTGTGAAAACCGCATCCAATTTGGTGCAGTAGTTTTTGCGTAATGCCGAAACAAAAGTACAGACAAATTTCTAAAATTAGTTTGATCTCTATTGGTCTTAAGACTTCTCATATTAATTTTTAAATATCTCTTTTGTACAGATATCGTCTAATTACAGATTTTTTTAGTTAAATTGATCACTATTGAGTAACAGTTATGTGCCTTTACGTACATTACATTTGGAACCGGAGGTCGAGAAGCACTTATCACGTTCAAAGTCAAGATTGATAACAACTATATTAAAATAGAATTGATTGTTCTAGAAAAATTAACTGAACGGTTCGTTTTTTAACTGTAAATATTTATTTAACTGTTGTAATAAATCGGTTTAAAAGCATAAAAATGAGAAGGTGCTTGCTGATTTAGGTGTGTGTGTGTGTTTTTTTTATATAACTTAGAATGGCAAACAAGCTGACGACCCACCTGATGGAAAGTGGTAACCGTCGCCTATAGATACGAGCATTACCATGGACATAACAGAGTATGCTGTTTCGCCCATGATACCCCCCATGCGTTGCCATTCCTGAGGACTCAGGTGTTATTCCTCTGTACCCAGTAAATTCACGCCATATCCCACCCTTCAAACCGAAACGCTATGGGGAAAGGGTTTGATAGTAATGGAGACTAAGAATCCCATTGCTAGCAATATACCCAACCAGGTCGACCTTCACGCGGTTCCCCTGGAAACTATCATGGTTAATTCCTGATGGATTAATCATGATCGACTAACTGGCCTGTTTCCATTCTCATCGATCACCCTTCACTGGTGCTCCGCCAGCGTATCCCGTTAGCGCAGGCTGGGTTACCATACCATTATCACACATCACATACGCTATGGAATAATCTCTCACTATGGTGAAAACAGTAACCATGTCATTCTGTCCACAGCACCTTCGTATGCCCTACTGAGATCATCGCATTCTCCGAGCGCGCGGACGACTTCCGCAAGATCGGATGCGAGGTGATCGCCGCCTCTACTGACTCCCACTTCACACATTTAGCCTGGATCAACACGCCACGCAAACAGGGTATGTACCCATGACTGTTGATAACTTTTGAGTCGTTCACACGTATTTTAATTTTAAATTCACCATGGGAATCTTAACGTGACTCGATCGCAGGTAAATCAGTGTTTCCCAACCTTTTTTGTGCCATGCCCCACTTGAACATTTCAAAAATTTTTATGCCCCCATACATAATTTTTCCCGACAAAGTTTACCTTAACGACTCTAATCGCCCAGTTGATATTTTGGTAACGTCAAACGAAATTATACCTAATAAATATTTACAGTATTTTTTTTTTTTAATTTACTTTTTTTGTTACATTTGGCATCGATATCTACTCGTAGCATTGCATTTAAATGGCCCGGAGCAAGAGGGTTAAAATTGCTTCGAGTCCATTTATTAATTGCCCCCTTAACTATCAAATTTTCCCCCTGTGGGGCGTGGGCCCCACGTTGGGAAATACCGAGGTAAATAGTACCTACATACCTACCATCATCATTATGTCAGCCTTTGATTGTCCACTGCTGAACATAAGTCTCGTATCCATCCTCATACCTTAGAACCTTAAAATAGTCATCCACAGTACAGGTTTTTTTATGGGTGATAATGGAATGGCATTCCCGATGACTGACCTGCCTTCATCCTCATCTATTACCATTCCATTTTCACCTAATAAAACTCCGTTTACTATCAGATGGGCCGTATGCTTGTTTGCCACCAAAGTAGTGTAAAAAGCATGCTATTCTTCAATGTTAAAGCTCTTCTTAACCTTGCAGTTTTGTAATAACGTTTATATATATATATATATATATAAAGTATATAAAATCTACACTAATATTATAAAGAGGAAAGATTTGTATTTGTGTGTGTGTGTGTATGTTTGTAATGAATAAACTCAAAAACTACTTTGCTGATTACAAAAATTCTTTCACCATTAGAAAGCTACATTCGCCCTGAGTAGCATAGGCTATATTTATTTCTAGAAAAGATTAGGGATCCTTACTAAAACGTTAGTAACATAATTCAAGGTGTAAAAAATGCTATAAAATATCTTTCGTCGCGTGCGCTGCGGAAACTATTGGTGATAGAACAAAAGTATGTTCTATAATATTGAAGAAAATATCAATAACTACAAAAAACTTCTCGATACTATATGTCTAACTATTATCGTTATGTCAAAATAAACACCTTTTTAAAATGTTGTAAAAATGTCCACCCGTCTAGTAAATAAATAATTAAGACACGGAGAAACGATACGATCAGTTCATATAAGCACCTATCAGATAAACAGAGCATTTTAAATCTATACGTTCTTATATCTGTCCCACATTTTTTATCTTTGTATCATACAGTCAAGCTTGTACAAAGTCCATAAGTCCATTCGAATCTTTATTTTCATGTATAAAGAAGTGAAATTAGAATAAAAATTTGATTTATTTGTATGTGCACAAATAATAATAATAATAATGAAGTAGCCACCCATCATACACAAGCATAACCTTCCATACAAAACATACATACTGCACTTACTTTTTTTTTTGATGGGTGATAATGGAATGGTAACCCCGCCTGCGCTAACGGGATACGCTGGCGGAGCACCAGTGAAGGGTGATAGATGAGAATGAAAACAGGCCAGTTAGCCTATCATGATGAATTCATCAGGAATTAACCATCCGGTTTCCAGGGGGAACCGCGAGGAGGTCGACCTGTTTGGGTATATTGCTAGCAATGGGATTCTCAGTCTCCATTACTAACAATCCCTTTCCCCCCTACTGCACTTACTTGGTCACGTAGCTGCAAGGCCTATGTCCAGCAGTGGACCAATAATGGCTAAGATAATGATATTTAATACTAGTATTCTGACACGGTTTCGCACGAGTAGACAACATTTTCGAAAAAATTGGCCTACTTTAGTCACTCATAATGCACCACCTTTTTTACGCAGTTTAGAATGGCAAACAGGCTGACGGTCCACCTGATAGAAAATGGTAACTGTCGCCTATAGACATGAGCAGTACCATGGACATAACAGAGTATACTGTTTCGTCCATGATACCCCCCATGCGTTGCCATTCCTGAGGTCTCAGGTGTTATTCCTCTGTACCCAGTAAATTCACGCCATATCCCACCCTTCACACCGAAACACAGCCATGCAAACAATTGCTTCACGATAGAAACACGAATGGGACAGAGGTACCCAAGCAATCGACTTTTATACAAAGTCTCCCTCTAAGCTTACGTCTTTTTCTTACAACAATTTCCAGGCGGTCTCGGCCCCATGAACATTCCAATCATCAGCGACAAATCCCACAAGATCGCCCGTGACTACGGCGTGCTCAACGAGGAGACCGGCATCCCGTTCCGTGGCCTGTTCATCATCGACGAGAAGCAGAATCTGAGGCAGATCACAATCAACGACTTGCCAGTCGGACGGTGAGTTGTTTTTTTTTAATGGATGATAATGGAATGGTAACCCCGCCTGCGCTATCGGTACACGCAGAGCGATGAAAATAGATTAAATAGCTCGTCGCGTCTAATTGATGTCGAGTTAACCAAGATGGTTTCCAGGGGGCACCACGTGGAGGTAGATCTGATAGGGTATATTGCTAAAAATAGGGTAGTTTTTTTTTAATGGATGATAATGGAATGGTAACTCCGCCTGCGCTAACGGTATACGCTGGCGGGGCACCAGCGAGGGATGATAGGTGAGGATAAAAAGGCAGGTCAGTTAGCCCATTTCTGCCATCGGAGATGTGGTGAGTGCGAAAGCGGACCCATGTCTCCGACATACCATGACACCTCGAGGGTATATCGTCTGGTTTTTGGAGGGTACACTCCCACCTTACGGGGAGATTTCCACAGTACCCATTCACCCCCCACAAGGTGTATGGCTCTGCATAAAGCATTTTCCAGACAATAAAAAAAAGGGTCAGTTGGCCCATTGTGATGAATACACCTGGGATTCAGCACCATGGTTTCCAGAGGGGACCATCTGGAGGTCAACTTGACATAGTATATTGCTAACAATGGGATAGTTAGACCCCATTACTAACAATTATACTAAAAAAATCGCCATAAACTAAAGTACCATCCCAACCGACTGGATGAGTGGGTGACCTTCCACCCTGTATTTTTTCCATGCTTCAGAGTCGATTCTCAGCAGTATTTCCGAACCGATACGATATCGTAACCTTCAAGAAAAGAGCATATTCCTTTTTAAAAGGTCGGCAGCACACTTGCAATGCTTTTGCTGTTGCGAGTGCTCATGAACAGCGGTAGTCACTTACCATCAGGCGAGCTCCATGTTCGTTTGCCCAGTAACAAATCAAAATAATTAGCTTAAATAAATAATTATTTTGTACTGCTATTTGTCATCAACAGACTGTCTCTTATAATCGATTCGATCATTCGTTTGTTTACATTTTTATTAAATCCAATTGAAACAAATTGTTACTATACTTCCACAAATAGTGGAAGATGTGAGGACGAAATAAAAAGGAGATGTATTATCACAAAAGCAGCTTTATGTAAACTGCATAAAATCTGGAAGAACCGCAATATTACAAAGAACACCAAAATGCATATAATGAGGAGTTTGGTCTTTCCAATTTTTCTGTATAGTGCAGAAACTTGGACGATCAGGCAACAAGTACGCCGAAAAATTGATGCTCTAGAGATGTGGTGCTGGCGACGACTGCTGCATATACCTTGGACTGCCTTCCGAACTAACGTTTCCATTCTGAACGAACTGAAAATCAGAGAGAGATTGTCGTCAACTGTTCGTATACGAATTCTCAAGTACTTCGGCCATATCATCCGGAATGAAGATTGTATGGAACGTCTAATTGTCCAAGGAGCGGTACAAGGCAAACGTTCTCGGGGTAGATCGCCAACGCGATGGACTGACCTTATCAAAACGGCCACACAGCAGTCTATTGTGGAATGCTCTCGCTCGGCGGCGAACAGAAGTAGATGGAGACATATTACGAGGACCTCAATCACGAAGGAGGGCCTCATCGACGATCCACTGTCATTGTAAAAACCACGACCACTCTGTCAAGAGTGTACGACTGAAGAAAGATATACTTCCATTACGTATATATGATTTTTTTTTATGGGTGAAAATGGTATGGTAACCCCGCCTGCGCTAACGGGATACGCTGGCGGAGCACCAGTGAAGGGTGATAGATGAGAATGAAAACAGGCCAGTTAGCCCATCATGATGAATTCATCCGGAATTAATTATGATAGTTTCCAGGGGGAACAGGAGGTCGACGTGGTTGGGTATATTGCTAGCAATGGGATTCTCAGTCTCCATTACTAACAATCCCCTTCCCCCATATATATGATTGTACCATGGTAATATACACGTGTATTTGTATCGACGGTTATCTATTACTATTCCGTGTTGTCCAATATATTGTATTATTATGATAATAATCTAATGTACTGGTCTACTTACGGAATTGATAACATTATTTGGCATTATTGATTGATTATACATCCGTTTATTCGTCGATTAGAGATAGCACCCGAAATAATCAGCGCTTACGTATTGTCACCCTGTGTAGGCTTGGAATATTTCGCACGAAACAAGTGAAATATCATAATCTATGTGAAATCATACGTCACACCTGCTACTTTGCGTTATTTAGACTGTTACAAATCACAGTTAATGAAATCGCGGTCGTCGCAGCGTTCGGGTTTGTTCGTTAGTGATCGGCTACGCTCGGTTAGCAGTGAAGTGAAATCGCACGTGGCCAGCTGCGGCGTACAGAGCGAGCGAATTAAGACTTTAACACACTGCGTTAAATTCTAATACTTGTATTAAAAATCATATTCCACTTTTAATAGTAAGTAGGACACCATAGCACCATACTCTAGATATTTACGCACTTTTAAAACCATCGTGGTTAATTCTTGTAGGACTCATTACTATTAGCTAAATGACTTGCTTTCATACCCTTTTTTTATGCAACTTAGAATGGTAAACAAGCTGACAGTCCGCCTGATGGGGGGGGGGGGGAAGGGATTGTTAGTAATGGGGTCAAATAGCCTTATTACTAGCAATGTACCCTGTCAGGTCGACCTCCACGTGGTTCCCCCTGGAAACCATCGTGACTAATTCTAGTTTAATTCGTCAGGATGGGCTAACTGACCTAATTTCATCTTCATCTGTCATCCCTCACTGGTGCCCCGCCAGTGTATACCGATAGCGCAGGCGGAGTTACCATATCATAATCACTCATTAAAAAAAAAGTCCACCTGATGGAAAGTGGTTAAATAAAAAAATAAATCATTGCTTATAAAATAAACCTAAAATAAATTCCTATAAACCCATCACTCACTGGTCCCCCACCAGCGTATACCAATAACGCAGGCGTGGTTACCGTTCCATTTTTAACTATAAAAAAATAGCAAATAGTAGTGAGTGCGTAATTCGTTACGAGTGAAAATCACAGTTATCGTTAGTCACATGTGATATGATTGTGAATTAAAATAACAATTTCACTGATCGATAATAAATTGAATGTATCAATTAATTTCATACCTACTCCTAAGGACTTAAATATTAGCCTCTCGGTCTGTAATTGGCTTACTGATAATTTAGTTCCTACTTCCTTATATTTATTAATTCTATATTTGAAAGTGTGTTTGTTTGTTACCTGTACTTATTTAATCAATCGTATTATGTCACCAGAGGAAGACTTTGTACAAGTCGTTTGCTTGGGTACCTCTGTCCCATTCGTATTTCAACTGTAAAGCAGTTGTGTTTGCATGGCTGTGTTTCAGTTTGAAGGGTGGGATATGGTGTGAATTTACAGGGTACAGAGGAATAATATCTGAGTCCTCAAGAATGGCAACGGAATAATATCTGAGTCCTCAGGAATGGCAACGCATGGGGGGGTATCATGGACGAAACAGTATACTCTGTTATGTCCATGGTACTGCTCATGTCTATAGGCGACGGTTACCACTTTCTATTAGTTGGGCCGTCAGCTTGTTCGCCATTCTAAGTTGTCATAAAAAATACAGACATAGTCACATATAAAAATTGGTTTATTAACAAGCATTTTTTTATATTTACAGATCTGTAGAGGAGACCCTCCGCTTGGTACAAGCATTCCAATACACAGACAAATACGGTGAGGTGTGCCCGGCCAACTGGAAGCCCGGCTCCAAGACCATCAAGCCGGACACGAAGGCGGCCCAGGAATACTTCGTCGACGCTAACTAAGCGCTCGCACTCACTCAATTAGATGTTGGAACCACAAAACGTTAATTTTATATTCTTAAAAATAAAATAAAACATTTAAAAACTCACATGCCTTGTGTTCGAATATTTACACCTAAATTCTAGTTAATTGTGAATTTATTCACAACATCCACGTATCAAACTAGAATACTAAATAGTTTTACTTTATCATAATAAAATAACACAACTATGCAATTAAATTAGTACCTAGTGCATGAATAAAAAATAGAAAAAAAAAACAATCTGTCACATTGACTTTTTACCGCCATTTTTATGTTCCCACCAAAATGGCGTTTGAAAATAGAATCAGGTTTACGCACTCGTGTAATTTAAATTGTATTCATGTAACGCATACTCCGTGTATATTAGATTTAAACATCCTTACATCTAATTGTTTAGAAAAGTTTTTTTTTTTCATTCCGTTGATCGGAACGCATTTGCTTTAACAATTTTATTAGTTGTTCTTTATATTGACGGTACACTGAGTGGTTGGATTGTTCAAGAAAAACTGCTTATATACAATAACTGATAAATCAGTAATTCTAGTTGTAAATCATGGTAAAAAATAACCATAAAATGTTGCTTTTTATCACTAGTTTCCTATATCACCATAATATATAATACTACAGTAGAAAATGGGTTCGATTCTGAGCGCCATTTCTTTAAACCTGCCTCTAAATATTTGAATTTGATATTACATCGGAACCTTTAATGATATATTAAAATCATAATTGCCATTTTGATTTATAATGAACTATAATAGTAATAATAGGATCTTCATCATGCCTCCAATCAAACTGTTTATAATTACTCCTCTCCATCCAAAGGTGGCCTGCAAGAGATCGCTCTTAGCGATAAGGTCGCCCATTGTTTTCTCATTGTAATTATTTCTTGTAATTGTTTATATTTATAATAAGTTTACTATTGTAATCTTTTGGAGGAAACAATAAAGAGTATCTATCTGTCTATAAAACAGTAATTTAGCAAAATTATAAAATTAAAATATTAGTTTAATGAAGAAAGCTTGGAGAAATCGTACTTCAGAATCGACCTGTTGTTTTTTAAACTGTTGAAAATACCATAAGTATGGATGTGTCTCTGTTCTCTTTACTCATTTTAACCCTTAAAAGCCTGATTTTTTAAATCAAAAATATATAAGTGTATCCTTTACTGTGTTTACTAATGGGGAAAAATAGTAAAAAAAAGCGATATTTTAATATATTTATTTTGAAAAAAACATTTGTCATTGTCATTATCATTTTTGATACTTTAGGCAATCAAAATATTTAAATTTATTTAATAATTAAACAATACAAACCCCGGTATCAAATTTGAAACTTTAGGCATTTAAGGGTTGGCAACGCGCACGTGACAGCCCTAGTGCTGCAGGCGTTCATAGGCTACAGTGGCCTTTCACCATCAGACGGGCTGTATGCGTTTGCCACCTTCGTGGTATAAAAAAATGTAATTAATAAAAGATAATACAAAAATAAAGTGGCAATGATTATTAAACCCGAAACTTTACCAATTTTCTTTCATAAAAATAAGAAGTGTCCTAGTATAACAGTATATAATTGAAGCGATTCTTGTCAACACGTATTTAAACTACTCAGTGTGCGGTCGGTAACTCGATTTTTAAAATGCAGCTAATTCATAATCGAATTGGTTTAAATTCGAAATAGTATCGAATAAACGCAATCGATAATCGACATACAGTATAGAGCTGTTTAAAGGTTATATAGTGACAATAAAATTTTCAAATATGAATTTTAGAAACAAATCAAAAAGGTAATGTTGCCAGATAAAAAAAATACACCTTTAAAAGGCTTTATCTAAATAGTCATTACATGAACATCTTGCTTTACAAGTTAAAAAACATGCCTTGTTACAATCGAATTATTAAAAACAATATATAAAGTAACTGTCACTTGGGATGATATAAGAATTCTGACGATATCCCATACTTTTAAATCAATTCAGCCATTTTAAATTTATGGTGGGAATAAAAACACACATACGTACATAAACCCTGTAAACGTTATTTTAGGGGCAGTTGAGTAATAACATAACAGCCTTTGGCGTTATGCGTGGTTATGGGCGGCATTAGTCACTTAACTCTTCTTTGCATAATGGTAGAAATTTCCATCATAACACTGAACGCCTAAAACATATATAAAAGACGAAGTTCACTTTAAATTAATCGTGTCTGGATAATTTTTTAATGTCCGTTGCAGAAAGAAAATACAAATCTGTCAAATTTATTATTTTAACCATTTTTCCTTTAATTTTAAACATGAATTATATCACTTTGATTATATGAATTTGATTTCACCAATAAAAAAAATCATGCAAAGAAGGATTAACATCAGGTGAGCCGCCTATGCTCGTTTGCCTCCTGTGTTGTAAAAAAAATCTTATTTTTTTTTATTCGATTAAATTTCGATTTTGTTCCAATTCGATTCAATCGAGTCACCTCGCTGGATGGAAGTCCAAGACAATAATAATGTGATCGCGTACCGCTCATTGTGTATCAGTATTTAGAAGTCCCATGGCTGTAATAAAAAGCTATATTCTCAAATTTGACTTTTATTGTTACACCTCCATAATCATTCTAATGGTATCTGAATTAAAAAAAAAATAGATAATATTTATAAGGCCGTGTAGTCCCGATATAGAATAGGCTATCACCTTTCCCGTGGGTGTCGTAAGAGGCGACTAAGGGAGGGCGAGGGATTGGCAGCAGCGTCCATTTTAATACATCTCTAAAGCCTAACTGCAGTTGCCAAGCGTAGCAACTACTGGCAAAAGCCTTCAAGGAGGATGCGTATTTTTTTTTTATACAACTTAAAATGGTAACCAAGCTGATGGCCCACCTGATGGAAAGTGGTAACCGTCGCCTATAGACATGAGCAGTACCATGGACATAACAGAGTATACTGTTTCGCACATTATACCACCCATGCGTTGCCATTCCTAAGGACTCAGGTGTTATTCCTCTGTACCCAGTAAATTCATGCCATATCCCACCCTTCAAACCGAAACACATAATGCCTTAATTATAATTTATCTGCTAAATTTACAGTTTTTGTACTTGATTCAAATGTGTTTTTAAACGCTCAAACAATTAGAATTCGACTATTACGTATTAGGTTTATGAATGTCCGGAAATTCGACGAGGGCTGTCTTTGACCGCGCAATGCGTGGTCAGCGCTCTTGCCTCGTGGCGCTGTTCCATTTAGAATGCCGCATCAGCGCTGTTGGTGATTAACTAGTACGTAACAATCGGCTTTGCCTGCGTGAATCAATATAAAGTATCATATGTTTTAAGTTAGAAATAGTCTTACCCGTGTACCAAATTTATTTTATTTATTTATTTACACTTTATTGCACCAAGTAAAAAGAGAAATAACAAATACAGTAAATATTAATGAGAAGTGATACAAAAGGCGGCCTTATCGCTAAGCAATCTCTTCCAGACAACCTTTGGGTAGAGGACATTGAGAAAAAGACAAAGAGTAGGTGGCGCACTATTATATAAATATTATCATATACAAACATATATAGATACATACATACATATATACACATACATATATAATATATACACAATTAAATATATACATACTTAACAGCATACATACAACAGAAAAAAATGACGAAGGAAAACGAAGAGAGAACGCAGGAAAATAGTACTAAAGTGAGAGGTAGTAAGATTTAACAGAGGTTTTGAAGCTAGTAAGAGTTTGAGCGCACCGAATAGAGGTAGGTAGTGAGTTCCATAGACGAACTGCCTGAACAGTAAAGGATCTAGAATAAAAGGAAGAAGAATGAGTGGGAAATTTAAGTCGGAGGTTATTGACACTGCGTAAAGTATGATCATTAGCCTCACTGAGAAACAAGAATCGGTCTTGTCAAATTTCATTGTAATCCTTTCAGCGGGGCGGGGGGGGGGGGTGTTAGTAATGGCGTCAAATAGCCCCATTACTAGCAATATACCCTGTCAGGTCGACCTCCACCTGGTTCCCCCTGGAAACCATCGTGGCTAATTCTAGTTGAATTCGTCAGGATGGGCTAAATGACCTGCTTTCATCCTCATTAGTCATCTATCACTGGTGCCCCGCCATTGTATACCGATAACGCAGATGGAGTTACCGTACCATTATCACCCATTAAAAAGAACTGAGGGAGACTTTGTACAAAAGTCGATTGCTTGGGTACCTCTGTCCCATTCATGTTTCTACCGTGAAGCAGTTGTGTTTGCATGGCTGTGTTTCGGTTTAAAAGGTGGGATATAGCAGTGAATTTACAGGGTACAGAGGAACAACACCTGAGTCCTCAGGAATGGCAACGCATGGGGGGTATCATAGGCGAAACAGTATACTTTGTCATGTCTATAGGCGACGGTTACCACTATCCATCAGGTGGGCCGTCAGCTCGTTTGCCATTCTAAGTTGTATAAACAAAAGATACCATTTCATTATTATGCATTAGAAAAAACATAAGTACCTTTATAATACAAGAATGGTTAAAAAAACAGCTACCTACCCACTTTAATCGTGCAAAATTAATTGAGGGACATTGGGATAGGATATTTGGATCTACCTTATCTAAATTAAAAATTGTTATTAAAAACAAAGCTTATTGAACAAAGCCGAATAACTGAAACGTGCATGGTGTTAGTGGATCACGCACGGTTTTATGACTATGTAATTTTCCGTGTGGTCCCGGCATAGAATAGGCCACCCCTTCCTTTCCCATGAGTGTCGTAAGAGGCGACTAAGCGAGGGCGAGGCAGCAGTGTTCCTTTTAAAACATCTCCAAAGCCTAATTGCGATTGTCAATGCACCTGCCAAGCGTGGCGACACCCTCCTAAGAGGAAGCTTATGTTTAGCAGTAGACAGTTTTTTTTTTGATGGGTGAAAATGGTATGGTAACCCCACCTGCGCTAACGGGATACGCTGGCGGAGAACCAGTGAAGGGTGATAGATGAGAATGAAAACAGGCCAGTTAGCCCATCATGATGAATTCATCAGGAATTAACCATGATAGTTTCCAGGGGCAACCGCGAGGAGGTCGACCTGGTTGGGTATATTGCTAGCAATGGGATTCTCAGTCTCCATTACTAACAATCCCTTTCCCCCAAGCAGTGGACAGTTCAAAAGTCGATTACTTGGGTACCTCTGTTCCATTCGTGTTTCAACCGTGAAGCAGTTGTGTTTGCATGGCTGTGTTTCAGTTTGAAGGGTGGGATATGGCGTGAATTTACAGGGTACAGAGGAATAACACGTGAGTCTTCAGGAATGGCAACGCATGGGGGGTATCATGGGCGAAACAGTGTACTCTGTTATGTCCGTGGTACTGCTCATATCTATAGGCGACGGTTACCACTATCCATCAGGTGGGCCGTCAGCTTGTTTGCCATTCTAAGTATTATAGTATACAAAAAAGAATATGTAATTAGTGTAATAAAGAATTAAATAAATAAATATAAACCGCAATTTAAAAAGGTTGAAGGTCATCTTATTTTATAATTGAAATTTATTGAAATAAAATATCTCGTCTCATATTACTTAGAATGTCTAAATATGTTCCGTACCTACACGTATATCTAATAACAACACTTGTACAAAAAAAAGTGCACAGCGATTATAACAATTTTAATAAATTCTTTATTTAGATACCTAAGCAGGTATTTGATTACATACAAAGACGGTAAATTGACACGAACATTTTTGTAATAAGATTTTTGTTTACATTAACTTAAAGTACTTTTTTCATAAACATACCCATTCTCGCCGCTCGCACCACTTCTCTGGCTACGAACCGACCGACCAATAGTGAAAAGGACTTTAATAATCATTCCTGTTCCATGCTATGGCAGTGAATGCACGCGCATTTGTTTATTAAAAAGTTCGGATCAATTTGAATCGAAATGAGCCACAACAATAGTTTCAGTGATTACGGCAGTGGTATTGGAAGCAGTTCCACATCTGTAAGTATTTATCAATTGATCCATTGCTATGTATTCGAAGTAAATAGCTAAGTAGGTAATTTAAAATATTTTATTTTTTATATTTGTAATTTTTTTTTTCCTATGAACGCATAAACATGTAGGCACAGGAATCGTACATCAAACAGCCATTTTGCTTTCGATGTATTATTCGACATTGGGTGTTAAGTACGCCATATACATATATACGGCTTAATATATTATTTATACTCGCTTACTTATTTAATTGTGCATTTGAATTGTTTAAATGAATAAATAAAATAAATATATATTAAAAAAAAATTTTTTTTGTTTATATTTAGATTAGGTAGGTAAGTACCTATGAGGATACAACAATACAGAATTTTTTTTATGGTTAAAATTGTAATGCAGGTACTTACAGTTTCTTGTGTTTAAAAAAAGAATTATGAGTGTTCCTGTAGGTAGGTAGTCAAGTTCGGAAGCAATGTTAAGTGGTGTTTATCGGTATAGTTGATTTGGGAATTTAGTCTTTATGCCTTTACATATAAGATGAGATTTTGTATTAAGTATCTACCTATTTGATTACTTTATTTATTTAATTTTTTTTATGTTCTTATTCGCACCTTTTACCGAATACAGACCTACTCATGCGCTTGAACTAACTGATTTAAATGTGGAAACGCGCTAGATTCTGTAAATAATGGTAAACCGTAAATGGTAAATCTGTAGAAATGGTAACCCGGGCGGAAAGATATTGTTAGTAATGGGGTCAAATAGCCCCATTACTAGCAATACACCCTGTCAGCTCGACCTCCACGTGGTTCCCCCTGGAAACTATCAAGAAATGCGGTTCTCCCTGGAAAACATCGTGAACAATTCTTGTTGAATTCGTCACGATGCGATGGGCTAACTGACCTGCTTCATCCTCACCTATCATCCTTCACTGGTACCCCGCCGGTGTATACCGATAGCGCGGGTGGGGTTACCATTCCATTATCACCCATTAAAAAAAAATAACCTATCACTAGGTAGTTATTTCTGTCATCAAATTAAAAAAAAAACAATTAAAATAATTATATTTCCAGTTTTCATCATGGGGAGATCATCAGAGCTCGCAGTCGATCAATACGAACTTTCAAGAAAAGGCCGTGGATCGGCCGCTGCAAAGGTCTTCCAGTTACCTAGATCGTATGTAATTTTTTCTTTTTTTAATAGGGAGGCAAACGAGCACACCGTCTATCGTCGAAAGTGGCTACCGTCGCCCATAAATATCATCTATACTCTACACTAATATTATAAAGAGGAAAAATTTGTATTTTTGTGTGTGTGTATGTTTGTAATGAATAAACTCAAAAACTACTTTGCCTATTTCAAAAATTCTTTCACCATTAGAAAGCTACATTCACCTTGAGTAACATAGACTATCTTTATTGCTAGAAAAGATTAGGGATCCTTACTAAAACTTTAGTAACGTATCTCAAGGTGTAAAAAATGCTATAAAATATCTTTGGTCGCGTGCGCTGCGGAAACTATTGGTGATAGAACAAAAGTATGTTCTACAATATTGAAGAAAACATCAATATGTCCAACTATTATCGTTATGTCACAATAATCACTTTAAAATGTTGTAAAAATGTCCACCCGTGCGAAGCCGGGAGGGGCCGCTAGTTTTTTTTTTTTAATTATGAGTGGCAATCAGACTAACGCACCAGGTAATGGAGAATTGTAACCGTCGCCTACAAACATAAACAGTGTCGTGGATAATACAGAATACACTGTGACGCCCATGATGCAATAATGTGTCGCAGTTCCTATTTAGTAATTAATAAATTCCGTATAGTTCCGTCGTAGAATATGCCACACCTTTTCTGAGGGTGACAGAAGAGACGGCGTAAAGAAGTCTAGCGTTCGATTCTCGGTTCTTCTTTACTTGAAAGAATATTTCTACTATTGTAAAAAGAAAGTCGTCGAGAGTTAAGTATCTTAACTCTGCATGTTTTTTTTTTATCGGTGAAATAATTCTACCAGTAATTTTTTATCGGTAAAATCAATGTGATATAATTCATGTTCAAAATTAAAGAAAAATTGGTTAAAAAAAATAAATTCGACAGCTATGTTTTCTTTTTTTGCAATGGACATTAAAAAGGTATCCGGACACGATCAACATAAAGTGAACTTGGTAACTTAACTTGGCTTTTATATAATTTTTGGACATTCAATGTTACAATGGAAATTTCCACTATTATGCAAAGAAAGGTTTTTTATTGGTGATAATAAAATAGTAACCCCCACCCGCGCTATCGGTATACGCTGATAGGGCATCAGTGAAGGATGATAGGTGAGGATGAAACAGGTCAGTTAGCCCATCGTGTCGAATTCAACGAGAATTGTTCACGATGGTTTTACAGGGGGAACCACGTGGAGGTTGCATGGGGCTGTCAAACTCCATTGCTAACAATCCCTTCCCCCTGCAAAGAAGGGTAAAGTATCTATATGTTCACATAAACAAGTGTTTTTATTTTCACACATACCAGTGGTGATGAGGCGATGCACAATGGAAGATGCTCTGGAAGAGTTCAGGCGGAACGGCTACGATTCCCCATACAACCCTGATGAGGACAATACACCATCATATACTCAGCTCTCAGGTGTGCTTTGAAAGTCTTTTTTTTACGGTTTGATGTAGATAATTTACCAGACGAAGACTTTGTACAAAAGTCGATTGTTGGGTACCTCTGTCCCATTCGTGTTTCAACCGTGAAGCAGTTGTGTTTGCATGGCTGTGTGTCGGTTTGAAGGGTGGGATATGGCGTGAATTTACTAGGTACAGAGGAATAACATCTGAGTCCTCAGGAATGGCAACGCATGGGGGGGTATCATGGGCGTAACAGTATACTCTGTTATGTCCATGGCGCTACTCATGTATATAGGCGACGGTTACCACTTTCCATCAGGTGGGCCGTCAGCTTGTTTGCATTCATAGTTGTATAAAAAAAAAAAGGTACCTAGTAAACTAGTCGACTACGCTCTTTAATGAATGATAATGAAATGGTAACTTCACGGTTGAAACACGAACGGGACAGAGTTATCCAAGCAAACGACTTTTGTACAATGTCTCCCTCTCTGCTTTCCTATTGCATGTTTTTGCACGCTAATAATGATGACATTTGGGAGGGACCTATGATTATAAGTGGACAGAAAAGGGGTGATATGATAATGACGTTGATGTTTGAAGGTAACCTGATCGGAATGGGTCCGACCAGCATGTACCTCCGCCAGAAGTCGTGGCCGGAGCCCGACAGTACGCCTGGCGTGCCGCTACCGCAGATTAAGCCTGAGTGGACCGATTTCACACCCTCGGCTGTTCCTTCCATCTACGACGATGAAGATCCTAACATGAGCCAAGGTTAACTTTAATTTACTTTTATTTTGTTCTAGCTTGTGCCCCAGATGTTGGTTGCCCGGTTCCTCATAAAGGATAACCTAGCTCGAGGATCAGGGGATTGATGTAATTATATGGATCTTATAGTTTCTCCTTAGAATGGCAAACAAGCTGATGCTAACAGTTTTTTTTTTTGTAATTGATGATAATGAAATGGTAACCTTGCCCGCGTTATCGGTATACACTGGCGGGCCACCAGTGAGGGATGATTGGTGAGGATGAAAAGGCAGGTCAGTTAGCCCATTGTGACGAATTCGATTACAAGTGACCACGATGGTTTCCAGGGGGAATCGTGTGGGGGTCGTCTTATTAGGGTGTATTGCTAGCAATGGGACAGTTAAACCCCATTACTAACAAATCCTTTGCCCCCGGGGGGAAAGGGATTGTTAGTAATGGAAACTAAAAATCCCATTGCTAGTAATATACCCAACCAGGTCGACCTCCTCGTGGTTCCCCCTGGAAACTATCATGGTTAATTCCTGATGAATTCATCATTGTAGTGAAACACAACTTGCTAGCTCAATACTGTTTATTGTATATCGAAGGTACTAATATAAAAACCTCATCTTTCCTACATAATTATACTACATCTTTCCCCTTTGACATATAACATTATATATATGTATTTATAAATAGTAAGTAAGTATAAAGGTAAAAATATAACAAATATCTGTTTTTAGTATATGTGTAAACTAATATAATATGTATAATTTACAACATTAACAAAAACCTATATATATATATATATATGTACTCACTACATTAATGTTAATACAATAATACTATTTATCTACCTATTCATCATGAAACTAATTACAAATTAAAAGAATAACAGTATCAACACAAAATTAATTTAAAACACTGTTTGTTTAATTTGATAATTTTTAGTCGGTTTAATAATAAATATACATAATATTATGTATATTTACTTTAACAATTTATTTACTATATGGAGAACATAGCTACCATATTGGAATACATAATTTGTGATTACATTTTATTTGCATTAAAACCTGTTTTTTTTTTTTTCTAATAGTTACAAATTGCGCATCGTTAGTGCTGGGTAATTCGTATGTACGTATATGATTAGATATGCCTGTCTGTATGGCGTTTTCTTTTGCACAAGTACTCGCCTCTGCGTCACAGCCTGTGGTGCTGGATGCAGGAGTCCCTGGCCTTTCTACTGTTTTATTTGTACCTGTGACTGTAGCTTGTGCTCCCTCACAAACTATATGACGACGATTACGTCTAAATATACGTCCAGTCTCGTCTTCTAAAATGTACGACCTTGGCTCCTTTGCTTGTTGCACCACCTTCATTAAACGACGTTGACCGCCATCATTAATGACCACCTTATCATTTTGATCCAAGCTGGGGTAGACTTTGTGTTTTGCTTGTCTATCATAGATGGATTTTTGTCTTGTCTGTTTGTTTAATAACTTATCATAATTAAGCTTGTTGTCCACTTTGTCAGCTAATAACGGCTCGTAAATCGGTAGACGGGTATTTAAACGTGCAGGCGAATCCACACCATCCCTAGGTGTAGATCTTAAATTTAATAAACTTAAATGGAAATCATGTCCCGAATCTTCACATTTTTTTAGCATATTTTTTACGGTACGTATCGTGCGCTCGCTTTTCCCGTTAGATTGTGCATATAACGGAGATGAAGTAACATGCTCAATCTCCCAATTGAAAAGAAATTGTTTAAATTGTTTTGAAGTGTACGCCGGTCCGTTGTCTGTTATTAACATTTTTGGTATACCATATCTACAAAATTGCCTTTCATTGCTCCAATAACAATGAGCTTCCAATTGAATTTATTCTATTAACTTCTACATAATTTGAAAAATAATCCACTAATATAAGGTAATATTTTTTTTATATTCAAAGATATCCGACCCTAACTTATTCCACGGTAAATTTGGAATTGAATGCGGTATCATCGGTTCTCGGATCGGCCGCGGTGCATGCAGCGCACACGCGGCACAACTGCGTACGACACTCTCTACGTCACGCGACATGCCCGGCAAAACATCACCTCCCGTGCGCGCCGTTTGCACCGGTCTATGCCTAAATGTCCTTCATGCAACATATCCTCCCGCAAAGTACTCGGAATGTATAACCGATTATCTTTGATCAGGTTTTCTACATATTGTAAAGTATCCCTATAAGACCACAATTACTTCTGGATTTCCATTACTAATATAATTTATTAATATTTGCGCTACTCTGTCATTTTTTAATTGCTCTTTTATTAAATCCAGTTTTTTATCACTGTATTGTAAATGCTCTAACATAAAACAGGTTTGTGCTTCTAATTCTTCATTGATCCGTTCATGCATCAGTATAGGTAATGGGGCGCGCGACAAAGTGTCCGCTATGTACATGAATTTGCCGGGCGTATAAACCACTTTGAAGTCATAACTTTGGATGCGTAGCATCATACGTTGCAGTCGCGCCGGCACAGCTGAGAGCGGTTTTTTAAATATAGATTCTAGTGGTTTATGATCCGTCTGTATTGTTACATCGTTTCTACCGAATATGTACTGATGAAAACGTTCGCAAGCAAAGACAATCGCCAGCATTTCTTTTTCTATTTGCGCATAACGACGTTGTGTAAGTGTAAGGGAAGCGAACTCGACCGGCCGCCCTGCCTGTAACACCACGCCGCCTAGTGCCTCCGCGCTCGCGTCCACTGATACCACTATAGGTAGTCGGTTCGAATACAGTGCGAGGACGGGAGCTGATGTAATAAGACATTTTAATTTATTTACAGCATTAGTATGCTCGGGTCCCCATACCCATTCCACATCTTTTTTTAGAAGCGCTCGTAACCCTACTACATTTTCGGAATAGTTTGGAATAAATTTAGAAAGATAGTTTACCATCTAGAAACCTTTCTAGGCCCTTTCTGTCTTTAGGTATTGGCATATCGACTACGGCTTTGACCTTAGCACTGTCGGGCCGCATGCCTCGTTCATCAAAAACATGTCCCAAATATGTAACCTCTTTTACATTAAATTTACATTTTTCTTTATTAAAACGAATGCCTATCTCTTTGGCTCTCTGGAGTAGCTTTTCTAATCTAGCATCATGTTCCTGTTTACTTGATCCCCAAACTACAATGTCATCGATAAATGATTCAGTACCTTCTATATCCTCAAGGTACTGTCTCATTAAACCATGAAACATTTCCGGCGCACAATTAATTCCATAGGGAAGTCTTAAAAATTGATACCTACCATAAGGGGTGCTGAAGGTACAGAGGTCAGCACTAGCCTCGTCCAGTTCCAGCATCCAAAAACCACAGCGTGCGTCCAACACGCTGAAGTGCGTGGCGCCGCGCAGGCGCGCGGCCACCTCCGTCACTGTCGGTAGCGAGTAGTGTGCGCGCTGCACCGCCCTGTTCAGGTCACGCGGATCTAAGCATATACGGATATCACCATTTTTTTTAGCAGCTATAACGATGGCATTCACCCATTCAGTAGGGTAACTCACCTTCCTGACAACTCCTAACTTTTCCATTCTTTTTAATTCTGTGTACAATTTATCTCTCATACCTAGAGGGATCCTACGTGTTGGACAGATAACGGGGGCAACACTTTTATTCACAACAATTTTGTGTTTGCCCGGTAGTTTGCCGAGACCGTGAAATAAATCCGAGTAGTTGTCAATATTTAAGGTATTTACTCTTTGGATCGCTCCTATTTGTAAACATGCATTCAATCCAAGAATGTTTTGACACTTCATATCTGCTATAACAAATTTTAAATTATGTACTTTATTTCTAAAACTAATTTTTAAATTGCAACTTCCAATGACAGGAACCGAGTTTCCCGTGTAGGACAACACTTTTTTATTGTATGGCATAAGACTATTCGGATTTATTCCTAATCGGTCAAAATCTATCTTTGTTAACACATTTAACATTGCCCCTGTGTCTAATTTAAAATTGATACGTTTACCACTAAAGTCTATTATTTCTATCCATTCCATTTAGGAGGACGCGCGTGTTCCATTTTCCAGATATAACAATATGTCTACGGACACTGAACTTGACTTTCTTCACACCGGTTTTTAATTATAATACTGTAAACGCATTTATTTGATCCCACCGCTGCCACCATGTAGTGAAACACAACTTGCTAGCTCAATACTGTTTATTGTATATCGAAGGTACTAATATAAAAACCTCATCTTTCCTACCCACATAATTATACTACAATCATGATGGGCCAACTGGCCTGTTTTCATTCTCATCTATCACCTTTCACTGGTGCCCCGCCAGCGTATCCCGTTAGCGCAGGCGGGGTTACCATTCTATTTTCACCCACCAAAAAAAGAAAACCCTTTGCCCCCTATGGTGACCATTGTGTACAGAAATACCGTAAAGAGCACTAAGGATCTCTCTGAATATAACGCAAGACCTGTGATATCCAAAAATCCTAATAGGACATTTCATGAGGAGTATAATTCATTATATGTTGCAATTCCTAAGAATTTAAGTGCTTCGTGTGTTTTTGCCGTGTGGTTGTGACGGTTCGCCTATAGTACAATACGTTTAAAACCATATAAGTACATGTATTATGTAATTAAATTATTCCTCCGTACCCTATAAATTCACGCCATATCCCACCCTTCAAACCGAAACACAGCCATGCAAACACAACTGCTTTACGATTGAAACACGAATGGGACAGTGGTACTCAAGCAATCGACTTTTGTACAAAGTCTCCCTCTGGTATTTCTCCTGGATTTTCTTTTGTCGTCTCTTGCTTGAAGCTGAAGACCGGGCGAAATGGAATAACATCATAAGAGACAACAAACATCTTTCAAGGACACGGCCTTCAGTAATGAAGTGGACTAAGAGAGAGAGAGAGTTGCCTCTTACGACACCCACGGGAAAGGAAGGGGTGACCCATTCTCTACCGGGACCACACGGCAATGCCCATTCCTCCCATATTTATATGTTTTTATTTCTGTACTAGCACCAAATAATGTGGTTGGTGATTCTATAGAGGACTACATCACAGAAGAACAACTCAGGGTTCTAGTATCGTTGCCGAACAATGTTCTGTACATGCTACTGAGAGAGCTCGAGCAGGGACGCGGCGACAGAAGAGGCAAGAAACGTGGTCCTGATGTAAGTATTTTTTTTTATACAACTTAGAATGGAAAACAAGCTGACGGCCCACCTGATGGAAAGTGGTAAGCGTCGCCTATATAGACATGAGCAGTATTAATTTCGCCCATGATACCCCCCATGCGTTGCCATTCCTAAGGACTCAGATGTTATTCCTCTGTACCCAGTAAATTCACGCCATATCCCACCCTTCAAGCCGAAACACAGCCATGCAGACACAACTGCTTCACGGTTGAAACACGAATGGGACAGAGGTATCTAAGCAATCGACTTTTGTACAAAGTCTTGTTTGTGACCCATTACTAACAATCCCTTTCCCCCTTGGATGTGGTCGGGGGGCGTGCAGCAGGAGTGCCGGTTCTGCAAGAACAACGGCGAGCGCTGGTCGTACTACCGCAGCCACTCGCTGCGCGACGCGGCCGGGCGCGTGGCGTGCCCGGTGCTGCGCGCCTTCCGCTGCCCGCGCTGCGGCGCCGCCGGCGCGCGCGCGCACACCGCCAAGTACTGCCCGCTCGCCACCTGCGACGGTCAGACCATGCACCTTCTCTCTCCTAACACAGGCCAAATAACTCTGAGCAATTGGTCAGACCAAACACCTTCTTTCTCGTAACACAGGCCTAATAACTCTCGAGCAGTTGGTCAGACCACACACTATATCTCTCGTAATACAGGCCAAATAACTCTGAACAGTTGGTCAGACCACACACCTTCTCTCTCGTAACACAGAAGGAATGACTCTTGGAATAGTTGGTCAGACCACACACCTTCTCTCTCGTAACACAGGCCAAATAATTCTTTGAACAGTTGGTCAGACCACACACCTTCTCTCTCGTAATACAGGCCAAATAACTCTGAGCAGTTGGTCAGATCTCACATCTTCTCTCTCGTAACACAGGCCAAATAACTCTGAGCAATTGGTCAGACCACACACCTTCTCTCTCGTAACACAGGCCAAATAACTCTTTGAGCAGTTGGTCAGACCACACACCTTCTCTCTCGTAACACAGGCCAAATAACTCTGAGCAGTTGGTCAGATCTCACATCTTCTCTCTCGTAACACAGGCCAAATAACTCTGAGCAATTGGTCAGACCACACACCTCTCTCGTAACACAAGCCAAATAACTCTTTGAACAGATGGTCAGACCACACACCTTTCTCGTAACACAGACCAAATGGCTCTTTTGAGTAGTTTTCTGAAAACCTCTTTAATCAGGACTTCATGTGATGGTAGCCATTTGCGACCATCAGACCGCGCACCTTATCTCTTGTTCTATTTATCTATTCTATTTAAGAGCTGCGCTCTTGTCGGTGAAGCTCTTGCCACTCACTACGATTTTCAGCAAATCTCTTCACCTCTTGATATGACACAACACCAACTCTTTTCTTTATCTGCCTGATGTGACTATCTCTTGTTACACAGACCAAATAACTCTTTCAGCAGTTATTGGAAATCCCTTTTATTACGATTTCACCTGATAGTAACTACGATGTAAATGCACGATGATTTTTTATTTTTATTGTTATTAATCAATACATTAGAAGTATTAATTATTAAAGAACCGTGTGGCATGGCGTGCAAATATTTTATTTGGAACTTATTCTTAAAATTTTACATTAAAATAGTATTCGATTGAATAAAAAAACATTTCTCAATAAACCAATTGCCAAGTTTTTCATAATTTTTTTTTATGTCTGTCAGATCTGTGTGTTGTGTCGGCAGTTTATTATATATTTTCTAATAAAAATATGTATGCGTACAGAGCGTTTGAAGTCGGCGGCCATGATGCGCAGCGTACGCATGGCGTCCGGGCGGCTGCGGCCCGTCGTTCGCCGTACTCCGCCTTCCGCGCCGCAGCAGGCCTACGACGCGCCGCTGGCGCCGCTGTGGGCTGCCCTCGAGCAGAAACTGATGCTTTAGATACTGCCGTTCTTATACATGCAAACATCAAACCTATTTTACCTATTAAACTGTTCCGTCTCGTTCTTTTGTGTTAAATTCCCAATTAAAAAAAAAAATAAGTTGCAAAGCAGTATAATAGTTGAAATAGATTTGTTGAACGTTTAAGTTTTTATAAATGAGAATTAAAGAGTTAATACTGTTCAGTACGATTCCTTATAATACAGTCTATGGCTGATTGTTGATTATTATTTTTAGTCTATGTCAGTTATGCTAGTTTGTTAGACGAAAGATTTTTCTTTTTTTTTTTTTAACGATAACATGTTTTGTTTCCCATAAAACTTTTCTTTTTCCATAAAGCTCTTCAATTTAAATCAAATGTTTTCTATTTCCGTCATTTTTAGGTACATTTTTTTTTCTGATGTTCTCAAGGTGAAGGTCGGTGGCCTCACAAGGTCAGTTCTTAATCTTCTATGTGCTAATTTAAATGACAATATTTGATGGCAGTTGTTGTTCGCAATTAAATAGCAGTTTGCACTTGTGACGCCAATTAATTTTCGTTAAATACATTTATTTGTATAACTGATAACATCAAGATTAGTTTGACCGGTCACATTGCGTTGTAATAATTTTTAAATGATAAAATTTACAATGTTTTATGGGATTCCAAAATTATTTAATATAAACTTTATTTTTGATTTGTTAAATTAAAATATTATAATAACTACATACTTACAACTTATGGTATGTTATTTATATTCACTAATTTTGTGATTTGTTGTTTTGAGAAATAACTATATTGTTTTTTTTTAAACAGCGTCATCTAATTCTTGATTGTAATGCAGTGTTAACTTTTACTGTTTCACAAAACATTTACTAGATGGCGCTGTTCCTAAATGTGGTTATTTCTTAATATAGTTTATAAAAGCGTTACTAGATGGCACATTTACTGATTTAATAATCTTGTTAACTCTAAACTCTACGGTTTCGTGGAATATTTTATAATATATAAAAAAAAATATTATGAGAATTGACTAAAACAGTAACGGTGACTTAGCTAAACCTAACTGTAATAATCTATTCATATAATAATATTATATTTTGTTGCAAGAAAATATATTTCTTTTCGATATTATATTATTATTAATCGTGACAAAGACTTTCTATCTAGTAATCTTAATTGTATATTTTATAGTGAGACAATTATACTAGCGTAAATCAATTAGCTATGTTTATATTCAAATATATTTCACCTAGACGACTTATATTTTTCATATAAAATGTTTATTTTTGCTATTGCGTGACGTTGCGGATGTTTTATTAATACTTACCGTCAATCATATTAGGTCCGATGAATTTATCAGGTTTTTAATTAAACTCTTTGCATTTTGTTTCGATAATATTAATAAATTATTAATAAAAATGCAAAAGGTTGTAAAATTTACTTATTTAATCTAAATCAAAAATGTTTTTGATTAAAGCTTAAATTAAATTTATTACACATTTACGATGTTTATTTTGTTCTTCAATAGATGGCGTCAGTGGTAAAACTTTCTTAATACTGTATTAAGAGATAGTTTTTATTTTATCGATGCCTATCATTATTTTTTTTAATTATTTTAAATTTTCATCTAATAATAAAATGTTCTATTAAAAATAATAATAAAATATGTCCGCATGTCACATTATTTTTAAAGGTTGGATACTTATGTACGTTGATTTTTACAAGAGAATTTTTTGTTTTCATATTTAATCACTGAAATTATTTTCACTTTATATGGGTGTTGGTATTTTTTGGGACCAATAAAGAAAATTGATCAGATTTCTTACCTTTTTCTTGTTTAATATCCCAGTAAGTATAATTCCTTTAAATGGAATTCAATGAAATAAAACAAATAATCGACTCGGCCATAGAACAGTCTGCTCATGTCTAAAATAGTACTTAGAACAATTCAAAAATATATTATTTTATATTCAATTATTTTATTATAATTTAAATTAAGAATAATTAATTAAATTTATTATTTATTACTAATTTGATTCAGAGAGTTTTATGAGACGACTTAGGGAGAGCGAGGGATGGGCAGCAACGCCCCTCTTAAAATATCTTCAAAGCCTAAATGCAGTTGCCAATCCGCTTGCCAAGCGTGGCAACTACTGGCAGAACTCCCCTTATGAGGGAGGCAGTGTTTAGCAGTAGACAGTTTAATATCAATAAATAAAGAATAAAGTATTTTATTTTAAAGAGAGTCCAAGAAGCAAATATAAAAAAGATCCCAGTAAATCATCATTTATTTAACACTGACTATATTTTTTTCCATTTCCCATCATACCATTAACCTTTCTTTGCATAATAGTGGAAATTTCCATCATAACATTGAATGTCCAAAAATTATATAAAAGAACTAATTCACTTTAAGTTGATCGTGTCTGGATACCTTTTTAATGGCCATCGCAGAAAAAAAAACATTGTCCATCGTAGAAAAAAAAACATTGCTGTCAAACTTATTTTTTTAACCATTTTTCCTTTAATTTTGAACATGAATTGTATCACCTTGATTTCTTTCACCAATAAAAAAAAAACATGCAAAGAAGGGGTTAATAATTCAGTTAAAAATTACGCGACATACATAAATATTTAAAACCAGTTCAAAAAAGGTGCAGATAAAGCCCTTTCTCATAATTATAATATATTCAGAACAGGAGATTTTCAGAACAGGATATTTCAAGAGATTGTTATACCATATTATTGTTTTTGTTAATTAGCACGCTGTGTTTCCTTTAAAATGATTGTACACCAAGTATAAATAGACAGTAATTTTAATATTAAATCTTATCAGTGTGACAATTGCTGGGAGACCAAATAAAGATAAAATAAAAATAAAATAAAATAAAATAAAATAAAATAAAATAAAATAAAATAAAATAAAATAAAATAAAATAAAATAAAATAAAATAAAATAAAATAAAATAAAATAAAATAAAATAAAATAAAATAAAAATAAAATAAAATAAAATAAAAATAAAATAAAATAAAATAAAATGAAAATAAAATAAAAGAAAAATAAAATAAAATAAAAATAAAATAAAATAAAATAAAATAAAAATTAAATAAACAGGCAGTAGGCAGTAGGCAGGCCTATTTTAAAATTTCGAGAATCAATTAGATGCTATAAAAGTATAAAATTACCAGTCTACGAGTCGTTAAAGGCGTTATAGTCCGGCCTTTATCCTTGAACTCAAAGGTCACGAGTTCGATATTCTACTACACTAGAGGGAGACTGTACAAATGTCGTTTGCTTGGGCACCTCTGTCCCATTCGTGTTGCTACCGTGAAGCAGTTGTTGCATGGCTGATTCAGTTTGAAGGGTGGGATATGACAGTGAATTTACAGGGTATAGAGGAATAACACCTTAGTCTTCAGGAATGGCAATGCATGGGGGGTATCATGGGCGAAACAGTATACTCTGTTATGTCCATGGTACTGCTCATGTCTATAGGCGACGGTTACCATTTTCCATCAGATGGGCCGTCAGCTTGTTTGCCATTCTAAGTTGTATAAAAAAAAATACTAGATCAAAAACTTTGTAGTATGTAGATAAGGCAGTGGACTGGTCACATAGTTCGAAGAAGCGATAACCGATGGGGAAGAAAGGTTCTTGAGTGGCAATCGGGTAAGACGACCCCCCTTCTCCACTAGACGGAGAATCAGTCGATGCAGGTGGCTCAGGACCGTTCTTTAAGGCAATCTATGTGGAAGGTAACAGCTAATATTTAAATTTGACAAAAGCAAAAACAAACTGATGCACAGACAGTGGGATGGGTGACGTATAAACATCAACGCCAAAGGATTGTGGTCCAACGACTACCGGTAAACCTATGAACAAAGGAATTAGGAGCTCAATGAAGAAATAAATAGAACTGACAGGAAATTAAGTGTAAACGGAATGAAAGAATGGATGGAAAGGAGGAAAACTAAGGAAACTAGTTGAATAATTAAAAGTAATAGATGCATAACCTGGAACTTAATATCCGGGAAAAAGCGTGACCCTAAGGGGGAGCCACAATAAAAAAACAAATTTAGATTGGGATCAACTGGTTAGTAATGGAGGTTATTTGACTCATCGCTGGTATTTTTTTTTAATAGATTATAATGGCATGGTAACCCCGCCTACGCTATCGGTATACACTGGCGGGGCACCAGTGAGGGATGATAGATGAGAATGAAAAGGCAGGTCAGTTAGCCCATCGTGACGAACACATCTGAAATACATCCTATTAGGTCGACGTCCACGCAGTTTCCCCTGGAAACCATCGTGGTTAATTCTAGTGGAATTCGTCACGATGGGCTAACTGACCTGCTTTCATCGTCACCTATCATCCCTCACTAGTGTCCTGCCAGCATATACCGATAGCGCAAGGAGGGTTACTATTCCATTATCACCCATTAAAAAATATACCGTTAGTGCAGGCGGGGTTACCATACCATTAATTCCATTTAAATCATTCCATTTAAAAATCATTCATTGTACAGTAAACTCCGTTACATATGTATGAGTAGGTATAGAAATATGTATTACCGACTTCGAAGATAGTAAAAGTTCTGATTGTGTCAAAGTGTGTTTAAACATACAAAAAAAGTCACACGAGTGCAGTTTGGATATGCAAAATACGACGTGACATAGGAACTGAATTACTTACTAGGTCTCACCTGCAATTGTGTACTTTATTCTGTATCCCCAGAAAGCACCTTTTCGTTTGCTTTCTACAGTCGAAGTCTTAAAAATTGTCCGAATTTGAACTCACGCATCGAGACGCCGCATACCGTTTTTGAATTCATTCAACGAAACCAGCTTAGTCGATAATCAACTTTAATATGAATGCCATAAAATATATTTTTCTTTAACCACTCACTGCGTACCACAATAAACTCTATTTACTTTCCCATAAGGTGGCAAATAGCTTGCATTGAAAAGACTGCCAAATATCTGGGTCCCAATCCGGTTGATTTGGGAATGTGTGCCGCTAATGTAGGCCGAATGTATTATAAGGGGGGGGGGGATAGGAGGGGAGGTTTGATGGAAATTATGATGTATATCGTCAACGCATAATGCGAATCATCTGCTGTCATTAAGAGCTTAGTAACAGCACAGTGTAAGGAGCCTAGTACTTTCATCATCAATATTATCAACCGTTAACTGTCCGCTGATGAACATAGGTCTCCCCGATAAGAGGGTTTTGCCAGTAGATGCCACACTTGGCAGGCAGGTTGGCAACCACAGTTAGTTTTCCAAGATCGCGTAGAAATCGACTTAATAGAACAAATTGCATTCCAAATGGTTAATTGAATAATAAAAAAAGAAATAGATTCATTTCATACAATTAGTAGAATATAAAAAAACAGTGATTGATTAAGCCGTTAAGGTGTTATAAGGTAACAAACAAACTCACTTTTACATTTATAATACTGTAAAGATAAGGGTAAATGGATGTCATGCATGTGTGTGTGGTGGCCATGACTGTATTGGAACTGTTCACTGCTGAACATAAGCCTCCCCTTGGAGATGTTCCTACGCTTGGAGATGTTTTAAAAAGGACCCTGCTGCCCATTCTTGCTCCAAAGCCTAACTGCGGTTGCCAATTCGCCTGCCAAATCGCAATTTTTTATTATACAACTTAGAATGTCAAACAAACTGACGGCCCACCTGATGGAAAGTGGTAACCGTCGCCTATAGTCATGAGCAGTACCATGGACACAACAGAGTATACTGTTTCGCCCATGATACCCCCATGCGTTGCCATTTCTGAGGACTCAGGTGTTATTCCTCTGTACCCTGTAAATTCACGCCATATCCCATCCTTCAAACCGAAACACAGCCATGTAAACACAACTGCTTCACGGTTAAAACACGAATGGAACAGAGGTACCCAAGCAATCGACTTTTGTACAAAGTCTCCCTCTGGTAATTACTGGCAAAACCCAAGGGGGAGGTTTATGTTCACCAGTGATAGATAGACAGATAGATAGATAATTTATTTGCATAACTTACAGCACACAAACAGCAATAGACATAAATGCACAGTGAAAAAAGAAAAAAAAAGATACATGTACAAAAAAAAAAAAACTACATAAAATTTGTAACAATTTTTTATCTTCATGCGTGTGCCACAGTAACACAAAATGGTCACAACTCAGATACGATGATGATGAAACATTGCAAAGCAAAAAGAAATATGCCCCTGTTGATACATAACTTATTTTTCGCATATGGGGTCAGCTAAGCCGATGCACGTCGACCCATACGGATCTTTTGTGCTTCCCCCTGCCTTATACCATCATTTCATAGATCCTATTTGTTACTCTAACGATATCTCGCGGTTTAAGATACCTGTAGTCCCCTGGCTCTGGAAAAGCCGTTCCCAGTAGACTCATACGCGTACTTGCCAACGAATCGCAGTTGCACAGTTGCACATCAAGTGTTCCATGGATCCCGATTTCTCCTCGCACAGTCTGCACAGTGTGTCCGAAGATAGACCCATCTTGTGTAGTATATGCCTTATTGGCATATGTCCAGATAGGGCGTCCATAATGAGTCTTGCCTGTTGTCTGCCACCGCTGTAGATGAGTTTATGTTGATACATACATACATACATACATAGTATTGCTATCGACATGCCCCACAAATTCAGCAAGACGCAAATGATCAATCTTATCTGAATTGTGAATCATTGATATATATGTAAATATGTTAATACATCTAAAACAGTTTAATGCATTGCAAATTAATGCATTTTACATTGTAGGCGTGCCTAATTAAAGTAATGACCTGAATATTGCTAATCTAAATAATATATTATACACATACATGTGTATGAATGAGGGTCATACACATGTAGTGACTTGGCGTTTTGTTGTTTGATTTCTATACTAATAGATATAGCAAATAAGATGGCGGTCCAAATGATGGAAAGTGGTTTAATGGACGATAATGGAATGGTAATCTCGCCTGCGCTAATGGTGTACGCTGGCGGAGTACCAGTAAGGGATGATAGGTGAGAATGGAAAGGCAGGTCAGTTAGCCCATCGTGATGAATTCATCAGAAATAAATCATGATAGTTTCCAGGGGGAACCGCGAGGAGGTCAACCTGATTGAGTATATTGCTAGCAATGGGATTCTCAGTCTCCATTACTAACAATCCCTTT